GGAAAAGCGAGCGGGCGAAGCATGCCTACTTACACATCGAAAGTTGTGCTCAGTGTCCGCTTCACACGATTCGTGCAGCCAAATGCTACCCAAGAGCCTGCAATCGTCGTCTCAAAAAGTGACCACAGACGTGTTCAAAACCATCTTGTTCAATTAGAGGCACCACACGCAACATTACTAGCACAAAAACAACGCAAAAGCCATGTTTGCTACAATGCACCTATCCACTTTCTGCCCTGAGCAATAAGGCGGCGGGCCGGCTTCAGCCGCAGAGTCCCTCCACCACTCCAAAAGTTTTAGTATAAAATCCTTGGTTAGAACAAAACCAAGAAATTTTTGAAACGCTACAGCCCCCCCCCCCCCCCCCCCCGCCCCTTTTTTTAACGATGGAGTTAGGTTTAGGGCCCAACTTCTTGGCTTGCTTAAGTCACGTTTGACTAGATAAAGTAACAGTGGCACACATCCATTGGCCCGGCGATGGCACCACATATCTATCGTATGTTACGTTGCTGTGGCAATCAACGTGGTTGCTGGGAAAGCTAACGTTCGTAGCACGTTGAGTTTGTTCACATGCAGAAACAGTGGCATACACTTCCAGCTTTAGTTCTTAACATGCTATAACCACGTTTGCCGACTAAGAAATATACATTTGCCGCGAACTGTTGCTGGCTACGGCAACGCATTTTTGTCTTGAAGTTGCTCGTATCTGCTGTGGTCAGCGGATCGACAGCCACGCGGTGTTTTTACTTTATCTGGTCAATCGCGTTTGGCGGGTGTCCTGCCGTGATTTAGGGTAAGGGTTGGCATGCCTAGATCCTTGGATTGATTGAGGACACACACTACAGGTGTTGAACATGGCTCTCATTTCTCACTGCTAAGTAGCACAACTGAAACTGAGAAATCTTTGGGCTGGTCGGGCGTTCTGGCACAGCCTAGTGCAATTTCGACTAATTTCATGGTTTTGGCACAATTGGCACAAAAATAAGGAATTGTATCAAATTGGCACAATTTGCGCAGTTTTAATGCACTGTTCGAACAAAAACGATGTACAAAACGTAATTACAAGTACAGATGAGTGCAAACTAACAAGGGTCCTTTTGTTATACTTTGCTGTGTATGAAAAGTGCACTCTTTTCACAAATGGGGCCTGTGCAGAGAGCGAAGTGGCCTTTGTGAGCCCAGCAACTAAAGCAATGGTTCCGGTGAAAGCTGAAGGCACACAATTTTTCCCACTGAAGGATAAGCGCGCATTCAAGCATCTATCCCCCCTACCCTTCCCCTTCGTGGGGCAAATACGCATGGGAGATAAGCGCGTATCAGCGCATCATAATGATTTGGGCGCCGAGCATGGGCAGCTTTTGTTGCGAAAGCAATTATATGTGCTTTTTCGGCTGGATTTTGCTGCTGGCATCGGCGTAACTCACCGTATACGTATAGGTATCTATATATATTGAAACGCAAGAAAGAAAAATAATCCAGAAAAGGTCTCCGGCACGCCGAATGGAACTTTGGACCACTGAAGCATGAGTGCGAGGCGTTGACCACTGAGCTACGAAGGAGCACCTCCTTTAACATTAAAACGGCAAGCTATTTATATCTACCATTTACCGCTGTTGAGAGGCGTCTCGGGGGGGAGGGGGACTATCGTGTTTTCAGCATCACCAGCAAGGTGGCGCAATGAGCGGGGGTCGCCACATCCTCATTACGCAACGATGCAAACTCTTATTTCCCACGCGTACTTTGCCCCGCGGAGAGGAGGGGGGTGGACGCTCACTCACACATCCTTATCTTGCAATGGGCTTTCACCGGAACGATTCTGTTGTAGTTACCGAGCGCACAAAGGTCACTGCAATTGTTGCGCAGTCTCCGTTTGCGAAAAGGGCGCACTTTTCAGACGCTGCAAAATAACAACATAGACACTTATTTGTATTCATCTGTACCTGTGAGTGTGTTTTATGCATAATTTGTGCGTTTCGATCTGCTTGTCATTCTGCACGTGACCTTTCAATTTGTTGCTATCGCGTTCATTGCTTTGCCTATGCGGCAAAGCTGTGACTTTTTTTCTTTGTTGAGTTTTCATATATATAGATGCGTATACATATACGGTGAATGACGGGGGTGGCGACGACGGCATAAAACCAGCCAAGACTGTCCATATAATTGCTGTCGCAATAAAAGAGGTGGCACCACCAAATTTGTAGCTTGTGTGTTCTTTATGCTTGTGCGAATAGTAAATTTTAAGTTCAAAGCGAATGGTAATTTGGTTCAAATAATCCCGAATCGAACACAAACAGTATGCATCACGTGTTTTCAAGAAAAATGAGCACATTTGTCATGACCCAACTAATCTGCACATTTTTTTTATTGAAACAAGGCTTGTGCAAATGTCATTCCTTTTGGTTCAAGGGAAGTGGAAGCAACTTATAATAGTAGCAGAATATGACTTTTTTAGTTATGTTTTAAAAATTTACTATGCTTACAATATATATGCTGGTATAACAAGTTTTTAAACTTTAAAAAAATTATGAATAGATGTGAAAGTAACATGTTCATTTAACATTGAAGTGGGGCTTTGTGGCAGTGTGGATTTTCTCTATACTAATCTTTCCATGGCTTACCATCCGTGTACTGCAGTGAAAACACATTTACAGAAGGTCACACGTGACTTACTTAACATGCATTTAAATAAGTGTTTTCATGGCTTAGCGTCTCTCCACTGCAGTGAAACTGCCTTTACAGGGGGTTTAGTGCGGGCTAGTATAGATCTGTTCCTGCATTTCAAATACTTCCCTATTTCTAATAATTTAAATTCAAATCAAAGCAATTTGGAATGCTGTAATAATCATTCAAATATTTAAAGCATTCAGATATTCACACAAGCCTAGTGTTCATTGCTGGAAGCGTTTCTTATATCTCCAAGAAGCATGATACACACACTAAGATTCATGTATTCTCACTAAATAATTCAATATTGTCTATTTGTGTGGACAACTTTGGGTTTCTGGGCACTGAGCTGGGCAGTGACATAGCAGAGTAGGCGGCTTGGTCATGTGACCACACAAAGCTGTGACGCATGTCATGCTGAATATTGTCTGCTCTCGCATACACGCGCCACACAAGTAGCCGTGAGCAATGTAACAGCTGACGCTTTGCCGGTAGTACGTACGTTGCGGAGGTGGCAAAGGTCTTGAAATTGCTCACATCACTACAGATCTGATGTGACATTTCTACAACTTTCGTTGTCTTTCTTATAGAGCTACGTCAGTGCTGGACGCGCTAGCAATTGGTCTCTATCGGGAGAATGAGCATTTAGGTACACTTTGGAAGGGAATTAAAATGTGTCGTAATAAACCTTTGCTGTGTCCGACCCTTCATGTAGAGGGGTTTCGCATACAGAGAAAACCCACAACTGGCTCCCTATTCCTTGAAATTTGATGGCACCACCCCTTTAACTTGTCATGTGTCTCGTATTTTTTCAGTCGTATTGTGAAAAAATATCAGTCATCATAAAAGTGAATGGAGACATGTCCTTCAGCAGCAAGCACACGACTCCAACTTTTAGCTCAGTATCCTCTCGCAATAAGCATTTTCAGCTATTTGCTTCAGAGCACCTGTGGCGCATCAGTGTTGCAACCCTTACTGCAGACTTTGAAGAGGTGATGCTCCAAACATGCCAAGCCACCATGCACTGCAATCTCTGCTTTATGTAACGTCATCTACAAAAATGAAAGCAGCAATGCAATGCCTGCATTGACCCAAGAAAATTATGCATTGCACATGTGCACAGTCGGGTGTAACATAGACATGGGAAATTACGCTGAACACACCTATGGCGAAAACAGGCATATGTACGTTGGTAGTACTAAGTCACACCTTGAGCATTGTAGGTGATGAACTGCGCCCAAATAGCTAGGCATGATCAGCTGCATGCAGCAGCATATATTGTGTGGAGTTCTTCATGCACTCTGAATTTTGTCATACCTGTTGTGGCGATTGTACAAGCCACAGAGTTTCCTAAAATTAACTAGACTGGACTCGGGCACTGCGATCGTACAGTGACCATGGGAATGATGGGTAGTACATGGATTTGCCTGATCTTCGTACTTGCGGGCAGCGAATCGTACTTGTGGATTCGTTTATTGCTATGTTTGGTTTTGTTTAGAAAAAAAAAAAGAACGAATAATTTTGAACTTCGTGATTCGATTTGAAATGGCAAGCCTAAAAGAATGTGGCGAAATGCAACCACTGAATTTTTGCTGATTTTCATTTTGAAAGAAAGCAGCTTCAAGCCACATGAACACACTCGGAGCCAGAAGCACGAAGATTATACAAATACGTCTACTGTTCATCATTGCCATGCTCGCTGAAGCGCTCTACAAGCTGCTTCCCTCTCTCCCTCTGCAGCTTCGGTGTGTTTACTAATAAGATGCAAAATTATTTTAGAATCTTGTGAGATTATTTTATTGTTAAAGCTTAAACCTTCGACTTAATGGGATTCACCGTGTAATGAAATTTTCTGCTGCATATATTACTTCATTGTGTATTGAGGTTTCAGTGTAGTGGATCTTGACATCTTATTTTGATTCTATGTTATTTATGTTACTTCGGTGAAAATGTGACTTTAGAAAGTAGACTGTCATTAAACAGTACATGAAGGAACCATAAAATGTATTCTATTCAACGGTAATTCATTTTACTGTGAGATGAAGAGGGGTGCAGAATTTAAGTACAGAACCAGTCATAGTAGAGGCAGTTGAAAAAAAACATTTGAGCAGCTGTTATTTTTACTGACAGTTTTCTATAATGTTCTTGGCTGATTGTAAAAAGTATAAGTACTAGTTGCTTTTTTTTCCCCCATTTCATGGCAGGCTCAAAATAGATGCAGGACAGTACTGTAATCTGGCATCTATTACTAGTACAATTTTGTGAACTGCAGCATTTAAGTATAACTTGTTTCGCTATAATATATCTGTATGTTTGATTTTTTTTATATACTTCAGACCAGCTCCAAGAAAGAAACGAAGGATCAAGGGTTACAAGGAAGATCCTTTTGTGTTCCTTTCAGATGATGACAAGATTTGGAAAACTGTACGGTGAGTGTTCTTTTTTTGTTTGTTTGTGAAGCAGTTTATCTGAATGATAGTAAACAGCTGTAAAGTAAGAAATATAACTGCTAGGGAGAGCAAAAGAAAGCTTCTGTGCATATTACTGTTATGTACTTTGTTACTGTCATGGCTATTCACTCTGGTAATGGGAAACCTCATTTGAAGTTAGTGTTACATAAGCAATGTCATTAAGTTCATCGATAATGAGTGTATAAGCTACAAAATATTATTTAAGTTTATGTGCTTCTCAGAGAAATCAGGCTGAGCATATCTTATGAAGGCTTTCACCATGTCTTTATCTGTCAGCTAGCCCATTACAGATAGTAATATCATTATATTAATGTGTTTGGAACTTTCAATTAGTAATTAAATTGGCATGTTTAGATGTAGGGGCTTGACATTTCTTGTAACAGAAGTCAAGTGTATTTTTGTCGACCTCTGTGTGACACATCATGTGATGCTGCAAGGAAAGAAAGTGGCAGAGGTTCGCCCAATGTAGAAGCAGCTATGTATTTCTGCAGAGCCGCATACATGTGCAAAAGGCTACCAGAAGTTTAAAACGTTTTCTTACGATAGAAGTAATTTGTTGCTCTTGACAATACTCATTCTAGCTTTTGAAGTCTACTCTTTCACTTAGGCGAAGAAACTTAAAAAAAAAAACCATCTCCTTAACATTGAGAAGAGTGCTGGTTGTTGTCAAAGCCGTAATTGTTAACTAAAATGCATACTTTCACTACATTTCTGCCTACTGCATCCAGAAGGAGCTCTATTTTATGTGGCTTGTGCATTGCTTTAGCACAGCGTTAACAACAGGATGATAAAACAACTGCCACTCACTCCAGGAACTCAATACACAAAACTAAGTCCCAAAACGAGTGAGACTTGTCAGTGACATGAATTGTAGAAGGTGTGTGAATGAGAAAAACTCTTTAGTGCAGAATTAGTACAAGCATTGCATTGCTTTTCTTGGACAAATATTTTTTTCCTACATTTTGCCAGCCTGAGGAATGCGTTACGTACGTCAATTTGAAACCATTCTGCAAATATAGTCGCTTATTTTTTTTTTTTGTAATTGCTTGCTAGTTATAATGCACTGAGCTTAGCAGTTGATGGCTTGCAAAATAGTTACTGTGCATGGTTGCATGCATGAGCAGGTATGTGTTCCACATGAACGGTTTTGACAACGGATTAGCAGACAAAGCATTTTTTCCATTCACTTCTAATCCTTATCTTTCCTTTCTTTAATTTTTCTATTTCTCTCTGTACACGAGGGAACTTGCAATGAGACGTGACATTTCTACGACGTGTTTTGGAAAGCCTTCGTACTGCTCCACAACTTCTCTAAAACGTGAAGGGGTGAACATGCTTAGAGTGCACGAAAAGCTATCTAGAAACGAGAGGTTTCATGGGAAGACCTTCTTGCAGGAAAGCTAACTTATGGGCGTTTCCAAAGTGAACATCAGGGGGAGCTCACTATTTTGCTAAGTGTCAACAGTGTAGTAACCTTTTTGTGGAACAAGCCTCTTCATAACTTGAAGCACTGGTCTGAAGTTGTGGGCACCATCACAATATACAATATAACCTCGGTGATACAAACCTCACAGGTCCCCCAAAATATTCAGATCACCCGAAATTCGTATCACTAGATAACATGGAAAATTAGTATGTACTTCGCTAAATTGTCTAGCGTCACCTCTTTGCATGAGCCGCCTCACTCCACAAAGGTAGGCATGCCAATGCATGCATCCAAGCATGTTTCTTGGCGTTTTTGCACATCATGTTAAAAAAATATATATATCATATGCAGTTCTAAAATGTTTCGCCCCGCTCCTTAGTGAGGGCCAAGATGTGCTCCGGTGGCCTTCTTGTAGTAAGGAGAAGCTCTGCAGCTGGCGCCAGCAGACCGCACCCCAGCGACATGTGGACCTCGCACGTAACCAGAGTAGCTATAACAATGTGCACAAATGTCAGCGGCGACAGTCTTGCCGCAGAGAAAACAACTTGATTCCGAAAACAAAACAAACCCATGAACGGCTACGGATGTCTCAGGTGCACGGAAAACATTGTCGCTATAAAACTTGAAGCTGAGGTGCTGTCATCCTCAGACTTTAGGCTCGTCCTCACTCAATTCAGGTGCAGTCGCAAGATAGTTTCGAGCGGCGCATGTTTTGTGCGGCGCAGAGGCGCACCCATGCGTGATGCCGGCGTCATCGAAGCGACTAGTGACACTAGATGCGGCCTTGCGTCTGATATAACGATACAAGCGAAACCAAAGCTGCTGGAAACTGACTGAGAAGGCACCCTCCATATTTTACATGCGGCGGGCATTCTGAAATATTTTTTGACAAGCGAAACCAAAGCTGCTGGAAACTGACTGAGAAGGCACCCTCCATATTTTACATGCGGCGGGCATTCTGAAATATTTTTTGTAGATTAAATTTCTCCTGATTCGTAACAACTGCTCTCTACTGAATATCTGGTGTAAATTTATGGCACTTATTACTGCTCAACACGGTTAGATTGCGAAGCTGACACCTTAATTGGATATTTGACTTTGCATAGGTTCTTTTGATTACAGAACTTTGATGTTACTGTAGCATAACCACTAGGGACATGCACTTCTGTCAAGTTTGCTTGCCAAGTGCATTTTCCCAACAACACATGCACATTGGTTTGCACAAAGGTTAGTCAGAAATCACTGTGTTGCCAAAGTGGGCAAATTAAAATCGTGTCTGAAAGTTGAGTCTGAAAGTGCTGGAAACACTGGAAACAAATTCAACATGGCTAAATCGACGATCTAAAGGGTCGATTGTGGGTGATCAGTTTGAATAGGCGTGGTAACGAAAGAGTTAAGAAGTGCATTGCACGCGATAGTTGAAGGCCAGAAAATTTTAGAATAGCTGCTGTCTTTTGTTTTTATTATTATTTGATCGCAGTGGCATTCAGTACGTTTCTTTAGCAGACTTATGGCTGCCAGAAATTTTTAGAATAGCTGCTGTCTTTTGTTTTTATTATTATTTGATCGCGGTGGCGTTCAGTATGTTTCTTTAGGAGACTTATGGCTGTACCCACACAATTGGAAAGTTTGCTGAAAATTCGGCAGGTGTTCTCAGCCTGGTGTGCCGATAGTTCCAGGTGTGCTTGATTTCAATAATCATGCATGTTAACGTTGCAAGGCGTAGCTCCAAGACTGTCTGCTAATTTCTCTTTCACTCCTCGTCCACCCGTAACAGGATTTCTGACTGCAAGGACATGTCTTGCATCGCCTTTGCATGCACGTGTAAATACAGTAAAATAATACTACTTCGGACACAGGAGCTCGCGTCGACTCATTGGGGGGGGGGGGGGGGGGGGGGGGGGAGAGAAAAACATTTCGACCGCAACGTCATCTGTAATCTACTCTAAGGCACTCAAGAAAGCGCATTAAAGCCTCTTAGATTTGAAGACACAATCTCGGAGGCCACGGTGCATCACACATGCCCGCGCTTGGGTTCCTGCACGCGATTACCGAGTTTTCTGTGACTGCATGGGCAACACCTGTTCGTACCTGCACGCACATTTGTATCAAGCATTGCAGATGAAAATTTGTTTGCAACTACCGTACTTCATTACATTTCAGGATAAGGGGCCATGCCTGGGACCATAGAAAAATTTTGTATCGCTCCTAAATTTGTGCAATTCGTGATTGTATCACCGAGGTTATACTGTAATCTGTAACACTGAAGCTACCTTGTAGGTTAGAAGAGGATGAGAAACACATTGCTGCTGTGCAGAAAATTAGGCTTACTGGTTAGGATGGTTAGGCCTCATTGCAGGAAGCTACAGGCCACATGTGCAGGTGGTAACAGACACTGACTTCATCTGAAAATGGCATTATAATAAATATTATAGGTATCACTTTTTTATGCGCTTTTAGTCAGCATGATCTTTCTTTCTCAGCAGGAGCCCCCTCTCATGCTATATTTGTGCATACGTGCAACAGTATTGCCGTAAAGTGAACTTATTCATAGTTCATAGGCACTCACAGAATGATTGGGAATACTGGACAAGGGAGCGTTCTCCTGGCAGAAATATACAGCCTTAGTCTGCACTTTCGTGGTCCTGCTAGCTAGACAACCAGACACTCTAACGTACTATAATCTAGATTAACGTTGCCCTTGTGCCAAAAATTTGTCTTAGGAGTCTCTTAGCACTGTCACAGTCATGCACCATAACCTCTTCAGTCCCAAGAATACACCAAGAAATTAAGTTTTTGCAAAACTGCATTATTTGACTCTCTGCCCTCAAAAACAAATGCAGAAAAATTATCAATTTGAAAAATTGAAAAGTTGGCTCAAAATGTGATGGTACCCATTTGCGTACTCCTGCTGCAGGTGTTGTCGGGGGCCGTCTGGTACGCACTAACCTCGTGGTGGTGGTCGCCGATGGTGATGGCTTGAAGTTCTCTGTACTTATCTGCGTGAGAGGCATGGGGTGTGCTCACAACGATGATGTTTTGATGGTTGTTGGAGCACACCGTGTCCTCCCCTGCTATGTTGGCCGCGCGGTAAATCGCCAATGCGAGGCGCGCGGTTCCAGTGGTGGCCACGTCGAGGCCTCCTCGTGGTCATATCACGATCTTGAAATCGCTCCGTGGGAGTAGTGCCATTTTGCTGTTTCTGATTACTTGCTGCTTGATGTTACGCAGTTGTCGACGCGAACGCTGTCGGTTGCAGTCCGCTCCCTCGCCGGTGCAGGAGGGGGCTCCGTTCTGGGTGTTGCTCTGTGCGTTTGCGCGGTTAACTTGGGTCTTAGACCCAAGTTAACCCAAGATCCGTGTGATTTTTAGACCCAAGATCTGTGCCCTTCAGAAACTCTTCGGGGGAGATATCCTCCCCGTTCACTTAGACTTCCATTGTTGATGGGCAAAGAAAACGTCCGCGTCAGAGGAGACACTCAGCGCGTCTCGTTGGGTGGCCGGCTTGCGTGAGCGTCGAGCCAAAGGGGCCCGACGCTCACGCAAGCTGTTGCGTGGCCCGACCCTCAAGCAAGCTGGCCACCCGACGCGAGTTGGGCGCGAGTTGAAAACCTCTCGAATCCGGCAAAGAGTCCTTTCCAACCTTGAATTTTGGTGTCAGTAGAATCCTGATGACTTTCCGCATGCGTTGTTGTAAAATTCATAGGCTGAATGACCGAAAATCACTGGCAAATTGTTCTTGGAAGACGGAGCCGACGTGATGCGCGTCCGCTCTCTCATGCAGCAGAAGAATTTTTTTTTACTTTTTGGTCAGTACAGTGAGTTGCGAGTGAAAGGAATGCCCAAAAATTGAACAATAATGTTGTCTTTGCATATACAGTACACCTACATAATGTTCAGGCTGAAAACACTCAATATTTATTTTACAAGAAATTGTCACTGTTTGCACGAGGACAGTGCTACAGCATACCGGGGCTATAAGAAGGGTCTTCTGCTGGCTTGTGACGCTGTGCAAGCCTCGTCATGGTTGTGTTGCTGCCGAGATGCTTTCTGTGAAATTTTGGCAGCCTGTTTTTGTCTTTTTTGAGGCTGCCACGAACCAGGTTGTAGCCTGCGCTGTAGCCTAACTTCTCGGCAATTTGTACGTAGCTCTTCGTTACACCTTGGTTGAAGTGGCTTATGGCTTCTGCAACAGCCCTCTCAGTACTCCGCAAGGATGCATGCTGGGTTTTAGGGGCCTGATGCCAAATCACTGAGTGCAGGCTTTCACTTGAGTTCCGAGTGATCCCATCACTGCACCTTTCCAGGAGCACTTTGTCGCTCACTCGCCTGAACACGGGCTCTAGTGCCTCGCTCACAAAATCAGGCAAGCTGTCTTTGTGTAGTGGGGGCTTCTCATTCTTCGCCACAGCTCTTTGGTACTTACACCATGAGTCTGGGCTTTCAGGGCAGAGGTCATGCTTTGGTGCTTTGTCTGTAGATGACATGTGCTGCAGAGTTGCAAGCACAGCTTTCTGCATGCCTGGAACCTCATTCCTGTGACTTCTCAAAGCATAGCCATAGTAAGAGGTGATCCTCTTGATTTTGTGTTGCGTGAGCCTGCCTTTACCGCCTCGCGAGCCACCTTGAGCTTTTTTTTTTCACAAGTGTACGTAAGGCAGCTCCCATACGCTTGTGCACATGATTGATGCAGTCTTTTTTGGCAACCTTGATATAACTGTACACTTCATTTTCGGTAAGAGCATGAAATGTTTTGCTGTCACCATCTGACAGCATGGTCGTACACTTAAGCTTGTGCTTTTCAAGTGACCGCCCAAACAAGCGTAGCACTGCCTCCACTTCCATCTGGTCAGCGTTGCACTCAACATTTTTCTGGCACAGGAGGGCGTGCTGGATGAGCCAGGTAAAACGCCCTGCCTCTCCTTTCTTGGGTTCTTTGGTGCATGCAAGGCAAAAGTTCGACAGTACGATATGGTCTATAACGAGACCACTGTACATTTCAATAATGCAACCAACACATATATGTGACCTATGTCCATGTGTGAGCCAAGTGCCATCATATATAACGTCGACGTTACCAGGCGTATTGCCGAACTCCGCATAGAGCTCTTTGACGCGAGCAACGCTAGCTACTTCGCACTTGGCAGCTGTTGCACTGCAGGCTTCCTTCATTAACGTCATGTGGCTTTGATAGGTCTTGTGGTGGAGCCCTCGATGTGAATTGTTCATCACGGCGGAGAAGTCCAACAGAGCCGTTGCCCCCTTGCCGATGCTATTGATGGCCTTCATGGCATGCAAATTCACTTCGAATGGCCTCACTTTGGCATCGATCTCGTTGGCTATACGTGGGGACTAAAACCGCTCTTCGTGAAAGTAGCAACTGCTGCACGTGACAACGAGCTTCGAACACAGCCTGTACTTTTTCTTGCCCTTCGGAAGCATCACGCTTTTTTATCGCACTCGGGGCAGACGACAAGCCAAAATAACGAGTGTATCACCGCCAGGTCAACAATGCTAAATTATGACCCGTTTTTTTTTTCCGTAATCCGCCAGATCAACATCTAGCAGCTTGAACTTGCGTTCCGTCGTGCAATGCGATGCGAGGCATGTCTTCAAGCTCGCCGCGTTCCTGGCACACTGAGCAGACTCGTCCATGGAATAAAATGCCTTGTCAATGCGGTCTTGGATGTTGCTGGAAGTGCCAGATGATCCGACGATGTAACAATCTGAGGAGGTGCTGCAGCTGAGCCCTGGGGAGTGCACCGTTTCGGACACAACAGGTGCCCGTGGTGGTTCACCGTCTTCGGAATGCACCGCTTCGACCACATTGGGCGAACTCGGCCGCACGTTGTCGGCTTTCTTCTGCGTCGCGTTCCACGGACGTCTTCGTTTCTTGCCGTACGCTTGGCACGTCTTGTTCTTTAGACGAGCGTCTCCAGTCATGCCGGCAAAAGACGGAAAGTCGGTGCATTGGTCGCGTAGCATGAGCATGAAGCAGACGAACAACACGCGCGGAACGGGGGCTGGCGGCCAACAAGCAAAATACAGAAAAAAAAAGCGCCAGCAATCTTGGCCGCGTCAACCAATGGGAAGCAAGAGGCGGGGGGGCTCGCCTGGCGCTCGTGCGCGCTTCAGCCAATAAGGGGTTGGGAAGGGAGCTTCGGAAAAGGGCTAAGGAAAGCCATGTTCTTGAAGAGACGCCATTTTGAAGGGCGGCAAAATCCACGCAAAGAAATCAGCTTCAGAACAAGCTCAAGATGGCGGCGATCGGCTGGCTCCATTGCAGGCGGCGCGCGCGGGAAGTTCGAAGAAATTTTCCTTTTGAGGGGTGTTTTACGACTCTCGGTGACTTTATAACCAATTTTAACCCATTTACTGATGGAATTTCGCGTTCACAATTTGAGAACACGTGCGTATAGGTATAAGAATTATACAAATATTATTTTCAAAAAATCATTTTTTTGGCCATTTTTCACCATTCTAGGACCCGCGTCCCCCCTCAAGGGTAGTCTTTTGCAGGAAATGACACCACTCTAAAGTCATAAGAGAACAAGGTTTGGTTGCTAGGGGGTTTGTGCACATATAGAGCATGATACAATTTTTCTACTGACACATTCCACCGCCAAGTTATTGCCTGTCTGGCAATCTGAATTACCGTATGAAAAAATGTGTTTGTGTTTCATTGAAGTTATCTAACATGCTGTCATTGTTTTCAGAGATTTCTATGAAGTGGACCCAACTTTTCCGAACCAGCAGCTGTTGGGCCGATGTCAACAGGAGAAAAAACGCAACATCTACCTTGTGTCTAAGACCGTGAGGGACATAATTGAATTAAACAGTGAAAGAATTAAGGTGCGTGCTGTGATAGAGTTGTTGTGATTTGATGTCTGTGCAGGATTCGTCATGATTAGTTTTTCTTCATTTCATTCTAGGTCATCAACACGGGTGTCAAGGTTTTTTGCCGTTGTGAAGGCAAAGAAGAGTTGGCATGCGACTTTAGGGTTTGCCAGGAGGTAATAATACCTGCTATTATATTTACATTTATTCTCCGGAGCTGTTTATGGATACACAAAGGCTTGCCAGCGATACATGTGTCTTACTTACGCGAATATAACCCCTTTTTTTCCTGCTTTTTGCTACCTGAAGTGAATCCTCACATTATAATCGAATGGCTAAATTCAAGTTGTCTAAAAAGTGCAATGCTGCACACAAGTCTTTAATTTTTATTTAATTTTGTTTTTTTTTTCCCCTTGGAAGTCGCTCCTCACCTTACAATCGTGGCCGCATCACAATCGAGTCAATATAGTAAGCACTTCCCAGTTTGACCCTCACCAAATGAACGATAAACTGAATGAAATGATCTAATCGTGAGGCTAGCAGATTGCAAAACAAGGGTGAAATAATTGAAAATTTGCAATGTTAAAGAAGTACTGACACGAAAATTTTCCGTCAGATGAAAAGCCAAGCTCACAAGAGTCTAGAAAATTATCTGCTAAGGGTGAGTGTACCCTGAAAAAGTAATTACAGTGTGTTTTTAAAAGCTATAGTTTCGGTTTCCTACTGTACCCTGATGTCACATCACGGCTTCAGCTTTTTGTCAAATGCTCACTCAGAACATCGGGACGTTTCTATGACCGCTCCACACTGTGGCTTCCTTGGTGACGCATAAGCAGCCATTTTGTTAGTTGTATGCATAGCTAGTGTTGATGTCGGTAAGTGCGCCATAGAAAATTGGATTTTGATATCAAAATAAAATAAAGCTTCTCACGTGCTCAGAGTCATCTTTGTATACAAAAGGTTTGTATGGCAGAATAAACTCTTCTCCGAAAAATAGTGTCAGCACTCCTTTACGGCACGAAATATGGCCACTAAGGGAAGATGGCCTTCCTCATATTTTTCTGCCACAGGGTACTCATAGCTGACAGTAAGAGTTAATGGATTTGCACATAACTATATTTTATACGGATGCTTAAAAACGCACTTAAGAGAAAGAATGGCTTGGTTTAAATTGATAAATGGTACTCTGAAAACTCTGATGTTACAAGTATCACTCTCATAAGTTTGTTATTAGCGAAGAAAGTCTAGGTTAAGTTTTATTTTAAAATTTCGAGACGAAATTTATGCGTTATGTCTTGAATTTCAAAACGTATTTTTCCTATTGTTGTGACACGGACGTTATGAAATTTTTTAGAACTTCGTATGTTATGTTCGTGGCACCGCATAGGACCCAGTAGACGCCATCAAAATTTATGTCACAGTGTTTGGCGTGGGAATCTCAAGGTGGTGTCTTTGCCCTCATATTTTTTTTTCGTGCACTTTTTTTTGTTTATCAAGCGTCGTCTCGCGGTGGGTGTGGTGTTTATAGGACTGTGAAATTGTACTTCACTAAAACACGAAAAAATCATTTCTCTGTGTAGTGAAGAAGAGGGGCCTCAGCAGCATTTCTCGGCGCCTCGGGCATCGCCATCAGCATAAGCTCGTGCTTGCTGTGCTTGGTCGGACGCTGCTGACTGCTTTGCCTTCTGCGTTCTGCTCTGCAAATAAACCCCGTTACAAGTGGTGGAGGTGCTGGGTAGTGAAGTTAGCAGGCGGCGTAATTTGGTGAACGCATCGTCGCATGCTGGTGACCAGGTGGAAAGGTCTTTGTCGCCGCTAAGAAGGTCCGTAAGGGGCGCACATACGGAATCAAAATTTGTAATAAAGCGTTGGAAGTATGACGACAAGCCGACAAAACTTCTAAGTTCCTTCAAGTTCTTTGGCTTCGGAAAATTGGCGACTGCTCGAAGCTTGGCCGGGTCGGGAAGTATGCCGTCCCGCGATACGACGTGACCAAGAATGGTGAGCTGCCGGGCACCAAAACGACACTTCTTGAGGTTGAGTTGAAGGCCGGCGTCGGTGAGGCGTGTGAGGACATGCTCGAGACGATGTAAATGGGTGTCGAAATCGGTGGAAAAGACAACTACGTCATGGAGGTAGCATAAAAATGTGTTCCACTTGAGGCCTCATAAAATAGTGTCCATCATTCTTTCAAAAGTGGCTGGAGCGTTACAAAGGCCGAAAAGCATAACGGTAAATTCGTATAATCCATCAGGTGTGACAAATGCTGTTTTCGGTCGGTCGGATGCTTCCATAGGTACTTCCCGGTATCCAGACCGTAAATCCAACGAAGAGAAGTATTCTGCTCTCTGCAAACAGTCAAGGGCGTCTATTCGTGGTAACGGGTAAACGTCCTTACGGGTGATCTTGTTTGAACGTCGATAGTCCACACAAAATCGAATGGAGCCGTCCTTCTTCTTAACAAGAACGACCGGTGACGCCCAGGGACTGTTAGAAGGCTGTACAATATCCCGCTGGAGCGTGTCAGCAACCTGGTCCTCAATAACACGGCGCTCCGATGCTGAGACTCGGTAGGGGTGCTGCCGTAGAGACGTATGGCTTCCTGTGTCAATCTTGTGAGATATGTCCGATGTGCGACTGAGGCCAGAAGCGTGGCTGTCAAAAGAAGCACGAAGCTTTTGCAGCAGCTTCACCAACTGGCTTTGTTCTGAAGAAGACGTTGCGACATCGATGGAGCGGTGGAAAGCGTCAAGGAGTGACTGGTCAACAGCAGAGTCAAAAATGAGTGCGCTGAGGTCCGTAGAAAGTAAACTAGATGGAGCGTCAAAATGTGACGGGCGTCGATCGGATGCACGTGACCGAGACATTCATCATAGAATAAAGGTAAAGGCCCTTCTAGCGTATTGTACACGAGCGTCTTCGTGACACCATGGTGGAGAGTAAGGAGAACAACGGGCAGTGGAGAACATTTGCGTTGAATGAACAGGGCAGAGGGCGTAAATAGAACATCACCATCGGAAATAGCGTCACACGACACAGTCACCAGCAGAGAAGAGCGCGGTAGTACGGTGGTGTCGTCGGAAACAGACAGTTTATAATACGGAAGGAAGGCTTCGACAGCGTCAACATCAGGAAGTGCAGATAGCTCAAGTTCAGCGTGACAGCAGTCAATGACGGCATTATTATTCGCAAGGAAATCCCAGCCGAGTATCATGTCATGGGAACACGAGGGCAGCACTACGAATTCGACAATATACACAATCCCTTCGATGACAACTCGTGTGGTACAGGCTGCGAGAGGTGTTACACTTTGTGCGTTAGCCGTTCCAAGAGAAAGGCCGGATAATGGCATCAGAACTTTGTGGAATTTGCGGCACAGGTTGATGGAAAGGACGGATAGAGCGGCTCCGGTGTCGACAAGCGCCATGACGACGATACCATCGGCTGACACTTCAATGACGTTAGCTGGACAGGGGCGAGGACTTGTGCATGGCGACAGGGACGCAGTTAGTGCCTCGGGAACTCCGGCCGTTAGTTTTCCTGGTCGGTGGGTCCGGAACGGCGACGCATAGGGGAAAGCGAACGTCGACGTGGAGATGGGGAGCGGCGGGTGGTACCGTGTGGACGATCAGAAGGAAAGGAAGAGGAAGGAGGGCTTGAAGGCTTAGGGGAAAACTGAGGGTCGAAAGAGGGCATTCGTCGAATGTTCTGAGCAGCCTGGCCACGACGACAATAACGTGCCACGTGGCCAACACCGCCACAAGCAAAACATATCGGACGGTTGTCATGGGTCCGCCATTGATCGGAGTAGACTCCGGCTTGCGGCTGGGGGGCAGAAAACTGTGGCTGAGGTGGTATCGACATAGGCGGCGGTGAATAGGTCGGCGGCGAAAAGGGCGGCGACGAATACATAGGCGCTGGCTGGAACGCAGGCTGTCGAGGTCGAGCAACGGCCTCGGCGTACGTGAGAGGTGCGGCGACTGGCGGCTGTTCACGGGCAGGAGGAAGAACTTGTGCGACCTGGTCTTTAATGAAGTCGCGGAGTGTAGACGTCAATCTGCGTGGTTGATCGGGTACGCAGGACATCAAAGAGAGCTGACGAGCAACCTCAGCGCGGATGAACTCTTGGATCTTGGAGAGAAGAGGGGCATGGTCTTCTCCTATTCCAAGGGTGGACAGGCTGGACAAAGAGTTGTCGAGCACCGAGGGACGTCGGGTGTAAAGACGTCTGCGCAACTCGTCAAAACTTTGGCATAACTCGGTCAGTTCTAGGACAGTGCGAGGACTCTTAGAAACCAACATTTGGAAAGCGTCGTCCTCAATGCCCTTCATGATGTGCTTGATCTTAAGCTCTTCAGACATAGACTCGTTGACTCGCTTGAAAAGGTCCAAAACGTCCTCATTATAGCTTGTGAAATTCTCACCAAGTTGCTGGGACCGAGTATGCAAGCGTTGTTCGGCATGGCGTTTGCGTACCTCAGGCCGTCCGAAAACTTGTGTGAGGCTCGTTTTGAAGACCGACCATGTAGGGAGTTCCGCTTCGTGGTTTATAAACCACAGCTTGGCCACGTCCGACAGGTAGAAGGAGACTAAGGCCAACTTGGTGGCGTCATCCCATTTGTTGTGAGTACTCACTCGCTCGTACATTGAAATCCAGTCGTCAACATCCTTTTCTTCTGTGCCTGAGAAAACAGGGGGATCTCGCAGACGCAGAGAACCGGCGCAGAGAACAGTAGGCAGTAGACAAATTGATGGAAGAGTTGGAGCTGCGCTTGCGTCGGTAGGCATAATGGATGATAAAATGCAATTTCGAAGCTCCAGGGTGATCGAAACCCAGCAGACTCCACCACTTGTAAGCTCGTGCCTGCTGCGCTTGGTCGGACGCTGCTGACTGCTTCGCCTTCTGCGTTCTGCTCTGCAAATAAACCCCGTTACACTCTGTTTAGTGTCCATGTAACAGCCATTGAGCCTTTTCTTTCATCACAGATTTTGCCTCATTTTATATTTCGTTTTGAAACGGGTACTCTCTGGCCAATCCACAAACCTTATTTGGCATAATTTGCCGTAAAAAGCGCATACTGTCGTTTTAATGTCGGTCGTTTATTGGGGTTTCTGGGGCGTGCAAGATTATAGGCATAGTGGGCGTGATCTAAACATTTTTGACAAATTCGACCTCGAAGTCAGGCTAATGGCAAATTCAGAAACGAAAAAAAATGTAGTTACCTTAAGGACCAGTTTTGTGGAACTCCACTAGATTGAGGAAGCCTTCCATGCAACTGAGCACTTGTATAACTCAGCTGCTACTCATGTGGCCTTTACCAACATTTACCTCTTTTGTAACTTTATGCTGAAAATGAGTGGATATAGTTTTTTTTTTACACGTAGACACTAACAGTGCCTATGAAAGGACATAGACACAGTTTATTGAAAAACTCTCTATATGATATTTGGACAGCGCTCTTTATTTGGCCTTTGTACAGTTACAAAAACATTGTGCGAGGGTAGGAAGATTGCAGTGCTTTCTGCATGGAGGTGTGACACCCATCAAGTGTTCTTTTAACTTTACCATCCCCTTTCTTCTCTTCTCATCTTTGACTTTTTTTTTGCTTGTAATACATTGTGGTGTTATTCAAATCTTGAATATAGTTCAGAAAAAAGAAAAAAATGTGTGCAGGGTCTTCCGACAGTGCTGCCTTACTTGAACAAGAGAAAGCTGATTATGAGCAGGCAAGACCTTTATGTGCTGCTTACAGAAGAATATCCACTTGAAACCCAGTTTTCACCAGAACTCCAGGAGCAGCTGAAAGACCTTGGTATGTGTTTAATCATGAACAATTGATAGCGAAACTACAATGCTATAGAAAGCTAGGGCACCACTTTAAATTTGATTTTTATTGATACAGTGCCCTGAGTTTTTTTTCTAAACGAACATATTATATAGGTGGGTATGGACTGAAATATATTTTTTTCATAATTAATAAGCTTGCCTTGTCTCCCTGACAATAATAAATATGGATGAGGACAAGTGTTCAGGTAGCATTTTTTATGTGCTTGTAAACAGCAGTGTATTGTACTTTGTACAGAAGACTCGATAATTCAAGCTCTGATTATTAAAACCTTTGGTTATTCAAACAAATATTAAACTTTTGGTTGGCCTGCTATGTTTTCAATGTACTTTAACGCCTCCTATGTCAAAGTACCCCACTGTAGAAATTCATCTGATTCAAACTTTTTGCTTGTTCATGCCTAAAAATATCTGTTGCCTGTGTTTCTTCCAGTTAAATACCGTATTTACTCGATTCTACCGCGCCCTCGATTGTAACGCGCACCCGATTTCCACTGCGAAAAAAAAAAAAACGTAAGACATCGATTGCAACGCGCACCCATTTTTCTCGCTGGCCCGCACGATCACACCACTCGAAAAAACGACTCCTTTCGGGAGCGTCTTCCATTTAAATATGAGGTACGGGCGAAGCTTGTGCCCATCTGACGTGTAACAGAGCGTTGCCGTCACTGTAGTTTTACCGTGGACCGATGTCAGCACGCGAACTTGCTTCGCCCCCTTCTTCTCGACGGTTGTGGTGCCAGGCATGTCGAAGTAAAGAGGCGTCTGATCGGCATTCCCGATTCGCCCAAGCAGGTAGCCGTTGTTGCGCCGCAAGTTCAGGACGAACCTCTGAAAACTGTGAAGCTTTTCATCGTACTCCTCCGCAAAACTTTTCGCATATGCATGTTCCTCTTCGGAGGGAAAAGCCTTTCCTCTTCCTAAAGCTAGTTAGCCAGCACCTGCTCGCTTTAAACTGGCTCCGCATTAGACCTTTTTCTAAGACTAATTGCATAGCCCGCACTTGGAGCAGTTCTGTCGTCACGGGCCGCTGTGCCGCTCGCTGCTCAAGCACATACTCGCGGAGTAGCTCTTTAATTTGCGGAAACCGACCCTGCTGTGGTCCACTAAAGCCTTTGCGTGAAGCTTTGCTGTCGACAATCTTCTGCTTTTGTTTCCGCCGGCCCCGCACGCACGTTTGGGGAACTCCGAACGACCGCGATGCGGCCCGATTTCCGTCCGTTTCTGCACACGCGATGACTTTTCTTTTAAAAGTGGCATCGTGGTGCACTCGAGTTTTTGGAGTCGGCCCTTCCACGCCGTTGATGCTGATGCGCTACTAGATGACGAACTCCTCAGCACACGTACGAAGTGCCGCACATGGGAAACACATAGGCAGAAATGGCCGATGCGCCATGCCGACGCACGTAGGGGGCGGCCATTTGGGATTTGCCAATGGCAATAGATTGACCGTAATTTTTTTGTTCGTACTCGATTCTACAAGGGGGATTTAGAAACGGCGACGCGGGAGGTTCCGCCAGAAGCACAGCTCGAAGTGGTAGACAGCAAACTCCTACACATGTGGGAAGCCAAGCGCAGCCTGCAAGACAGGTGGAAGCGTCAACGCCACAATCGAACGCTGCGCAGACGCATAGCACGGCTAAGCAGGGACATGGAAGAGCACGCGTTACAGGTATGCAAAACGCAATGGGAAGAGATCTGCAATGGGGTGGAGAACCAGCTGGGACGGGCCAGGACGTGGTATCTCCTCCGGCACCTCTTGGATCCGGAGGAGACGAAAACATCGCACGCACATAAGCTTAACAAGTTGCTGCATGACTACAAAGGCACCCACGCGGAATTTCTAGATGACGTGCGAAGCCCTTACTTTCAGTCACGTAGCCCCCTTGCGCACTCGGCACACGCCTGGGAGGGTGAGGGTAACGCGGAGCTAGACGAGGACTTCAGCGTTGCAGAGGTGAGGGCGGTGCTGCACAGGCTCAACACAAAGTCGGCGCCAGGCCCAGACGGGATAACCAACAAAGCGCTGCGTAACTTGGACGATGAGTCGATAGAACAACTGACGGCTTACATGAACGAGTGATGGAATGCGGGCGCTATACCGAACTCGTGGAAAACGGCGCGCATAGTTATGATCCCCAAACCGGGCAAACGAGTACAGATTGACAACCTTCGACCGATATCCCTGACGTCCTGCGTTGGTAAGGTCATGGAACATGTGGTTCTCGCTCACCTTACCAACTACCTCGAGGACCGAAACATGCTCCCACACACGATGCTGGGGTTCCGTCGTAACCTTTCCACGCAGGATGTTATGCTTCAACTCAAGCACGATATCGTAGACAATTCCACACGATCCACCAAAGCGATACTCGGGCTCGACCTCAAAAAGGCGTTCGACAACGTTAGCCATGCTGCGATACTTGAAAGTATACGAGCGTTGGGACTGGGCGAGAGAACGTACCACTACGTACGGGATTTTCTTACGGGCCGCCGGGCCCGATTAGCGATCGGCGGACTAGAATCGCAAGACATATACATGGGTTGTACGGGCACGCCGCAGGGCTCTGTAATCTCGCCCATGCTCTTTAACCTCGTGCTTGTCGGATTACCACGAAAACTCGCTGAGATAGAAGGCCTCCACCATAGCTTATATGCCGATGATATCACCCTCTGGGTTGCCGAGGGAAATGACGGCCACGTAGAGCAAACGCTGCAGGAAGCCGTCGACGTGGTGCAGGACTACCTTCGGGACACTCGCCTCGAATGTTCCGCCGGTAAATCGGAGCTCCTGCTCTATAGACCCTCGCGCAGGGGCCGTAAACCCAAGAACGCCGATTCCGCATTCGAGTGCGCATATAGAGAAATTAATGTACGCACATCAGACGGCGCTGTCATCCCACAAGTTAACACCATTAGGGTACTGGGCTTGCGCCTGTCCGCCAACGGCCACAATGGCGAAACCGTTCGCAGACTAGAGGGCGCGGTCAATGAAACAATCCGTTTGCTGAAACGAATAACAAATCGGCATAGCGGAATGAAGGAAAGCAATACCATTCGCCTGGTACATGCTTTCGTTATGAACCATATAACGTATGTCGCCTCCTACCTCAAGTGGCAGGCGACTGAACGCACCAAACTAGATTGTCTCATCCGCAAGGCATACAAACGCGCAATCGGATTACCGGCCAATACCAGCACGGAAAAATTTCTCGAGCTGGGGTTGCACAATACTCTAGATGAGATAATCGAAGCACACAACATCGCCCAGTACGAACGTCTGGCGAAGACCAGAACTGGTCGACACATCCTCGAGACACTGGGTATCAACTACCATACGCAGCGCGGCGAAAAGGTCGGGATACCCAGACGTATTCGCGAGCGCATCGTCGTTCTGCCGTTGCCTAAGAACATGCACCCGACACATCACATCGGTCGGCGCAACAGGCGCGCCCAAGACCTTGAAAAGAAATTCGGCAATAGCAAAGACACAGTTTACGTGGACGCGGCCCGTTACGACTGCCACCGCGGCTTCGCGGTCGCAATTACGGATCATGTAGGAACTTGTGTCACGAGTGCGACGATAGGCACGGAAGAGACGGAGGCGGCCGAAGAAGCTGCTATAGCCCTCGCGATAGCCACCACGGACGCCGAGGTGATAATAGGCGACTTGCAGGCGGCGATACGCAACTACGCCAGCGGCCAGATCTCCCGCGAAGCGGCCCGCATTCTCCAAATTCACGAACGCAACATCTGCCGCAAAAACGACAGTTTCCTCGTATGGACCCCTGCCCACACGGACCCTCCGCTTGCGGGCAACGCGACTGCCCACGCCGCGGCTCGAGGACTTACACGCCGAGCTGCGACGCCTGCCGACAGTCCCGATGTCTCGCACACTTCGACAGCGATGTGGGAATGGACGTGGGGGAATCGCATGACCACTTTCAGAGACATCACGCAACACTTCAGACTGAACAGATGCAAATATCCACCACCCCACGCCAAACTAAACAAGAAACAGCAGGTTGCCTGGAGACAACTACAGACACACACGTATCCGAATCCGGTGATCCTTCGCCTCTGCTACCCAGGCATTTATACGTCTGACGCGTGTAAGGCGTGCGGAGCCAGAGCGACGCTGCAGCACATGCTGTGGAAGTGTACCGGTAACGCGCAGCAGTCCTCTATGAACCCGGTAGACATGGCGGTCTCGAACCACGAGGCGCGATGGGAGGCGGCTCTGCTCAGCCACAACCTTGCCGATCAACTGTGGGCCATCCGGCATGCCCAGGATGCCGCCCGGGTCCAAGGACTCGAGGCCGTCACCTAGGCCGGGGTGCTTGTAGCCCCACCCCGCTCAATGACGCCGGACATGTTCAATAAAGTTTTTACTCACTCACTACTCGATTCTAACGCACATGCGATTTATGAACTCGCTTAACCGGAAAAAATGTGCGCGTTAGATTCGAGTAATTACGGTATTTATGTTCCTTTGTAATGTCCAAATTGATAACAAGCCCCCACTCGCCCCATGTTCTACCCGTGGGTAAAATCGCACGAGCGGGGGCGACGAGCGCAGCTGAAGCAGAGATCAAAGGAGCCGGCTCACCTGCTCCGCTTGAAGCGTGTATGCGATAACAGCCCCGGCCCCTCCACCTGCGTGTTGCATTTGCTGCCAAGTGCTGAAGCAGAAGAGATAATTTAATTGAGGTTGCTGGCGTGTGCACCATCTTGGCTAGTGTCAGTACATGGCTGGTATAGCCTTCTAAAAAGAGAATCTTTCCCTGGAGCTACTTGATTCTCTTACACCAGTGTTCTGTAGAGTTTTGTGACATCAGATCCAAAAGAGTTAGCTGCCAACCTTACTTCATATAACATTACAATTTGTAGCTATTGCATTCATTGCTTTGCCCTTGCCATGAAACTGATTTTTTTATGTCACTAACAGTCGCAAGTAAAGCCGATTTTTTGCCTACAGAATGGCCAAACTAACAAAACTTTACACACACCAATAGTCGCAGACTGACTGAAGGAAAAAAGAAAAAACGGGCTGGCCTCAATCTATTGTGTGTTGAACGCTTAAGTCACTTTCGCTATGGTACGCTGGTGTCATGTAGGAAAGCGTCTCAAGAATGAGAAGGAGCTACCAACTATCATAGGACACAGCACGTTTAGTCCCTTGACTAAACGTACGTGTGCGCCTAGCACGAAAACGAGTACAAGTATGACAGCCGATGTCTAAAAACTTTACTGGCAGCCATGCACAGCCATTTATGGTGTTGTTCTGCCGTACAGAAACAGTAAGTATCACAAGTCTAATTGGTATGTTGCCCTGAGCGATATTTATGACATCTTCTGATAAGTCAAATAAAATTGTAGAGTCTCCTCAAGTTTCAGTTATTGAGATTCTACTGTATCTTCAAATAGAGGTGGTGCTATGCTGAGAGTGTACTATATTTACAAAAATTAGGTGGTGCTACGTTGTTGTGTGATCGACAAGCACCTACCTATATTGCCTGAAGCTAGCCAGTTGTTCATGCGTTCTGGTGCAATGGGGTAGGTCACAAACACCGTTTTATGAGTTTGCTCCATTGGGTCATCAGCCACAAGAGATTGAGTTGCCAGATGTAATCTTTGGCTCACACTAGTTCTCTCGATTCAGCACATCCTTGGAGCATAGGGAAAACAAGCAGGTTGCTTAGATATGACACTGGTGAGATAGAGTGCAACAATATTCTACCATTAACTTCATATCTGCGTGTCACAATATGATGGAAAGTATGTCAGTGTTCTCTCTTCATATACAAGGCTATTTGAAAAGCATAATTTAAATTATCTTGCAAACTAATAATTTAGCCAAGTGAAATAAATTTTTGGCATTTTTTTAAACAAACAAAAAACAGAACTACGGGTGGTCAAAACAAATGCATAGTTCTCACTATTGTGGATCTTGTAATCTGACCGTAGTTTTGCACGTAAACCCCTGTATTTCCAAAAAGCTGACTGTGGCTAGTTGCTTGAATATCATCATACTGAATGAACAGTGCTGATAACAAGGCACAAGATAAGAACAAGTGCCCAGAATCAAAATTTCTATACATTTTTGTACTTAGATTCTCACTCTGGCACATTAATAAAGCAACAGATATTTAAGGAATTTCAGAAATTCCCAGTGGTAGAATGTATTTAGTTACATTTTTATTAACAAAAAGTTTTGGCTACAAACAGATACAACAAATCGAACTTTTACTCTAATGGTTACTTATGTCATAGTTAATTTGCTTACATAAATTCATGTTTTTAAACTCCCCCAATAGTTTTAATTAAAGAGAGAATGAAATTTTTATTCTATCAGCAAGGCATGCCTAAAAATTGTGGCCCAATAACCGAGTTGTGTGCTTTCATATTGCAGAAAAGGGATGTGTGCTGCTTGTCTACACTTCATTTCCAGGGTTTGTATAAACTTTTGTTTTTTGTTCAATATTTTCCTTCAAGACTAGCTGATAATTTACCTATTTTATGGTATGCTGACAACACTTTTTCCAGGAAGCCTATTCAGTCTATGCATAGCCAAAGTAGTGCTTGGAATATGCATGCAAACAGCACACAGCAGCCCAAGTTCCCCTTGATGCAGCTAAGCCTTCAGTAATTTTCTTGCAATATTCGTAGCTTAAACTTGTGTTTGGCTGTTTCTGCCGTTATCTTGATTGCAGTTTATTTTCAAGCCACATGTGACCGTCAAGCATGTGTGTAAGTTCATCCAGACTTTAACCTTTTGAGGTTTGTTGTTGGCCCCCGCCTGACAATGCAACATGGCCACAGCGGTCTGCGGTTGTGTACTGCTGGAAGAGTTATTTTGCAGTTTATTCATGTGCGCATTTTCTAAATTATGTTACCCCGCAGGGGCGCCTGCGTAAGTAGGCGTTTGGTGTGTAGCGACACCACGGACCCGAGCTAACGGGGGAGTTTCGACTCCCTCCCACGCCTAGCCGTGCGTGGCTTTGCCGTGTCCGGGGAAAAGGGGATCCTGGGGGTTGAGCCGACGCTGGGTGATTGGACCTTTAAGGCCCCCCGGCAGAGGCAACACACCCCTTTGGCCCCGGCTTCACGTAGACGGCACCCCTGGGCTGACCCACCCAGGGGAAATCGGCAGTCGCCTTTTCCTATCTCTCTCTCCCTACATCTTCGTCTTTATCTCTTACTATTTATCTGTCCTGTCTTCTACTCTCTTCCGTTTACTTCCAAACTTCCTGGCGGCTAGGGTTAACCCTGTGCAAATAGCCTACCTTGGTCTAGGCGCATTGGGTTATAGTAGCGTTGTACGGCTGGCATCTGCAGGTTTTAGCATCCACAAACTTGTAGTGTCCCCTTGTTGGGCTCCATGGTGGGTGGCCGCCAACGCTTCTGAAGAAAATTAAACTGTAATGCATAGAGCGTTTCTTTCACTAAGTGATCGTACTGCCTTAAAGCGCATACGCACCGAAGACTTAAGCTTTTTCAACCGATCAAGTGAAAACTTCGCCCATTTTCATGTTATACATAATGAGATAAGCAACAAGCAAGCCAGAACAGTATCCCCCTTTGTAGTAGCCAGATGTCTCACAGAAACTCTTGGAGCCGGGTACAAAGTTACCAAAATGGCCAGCGGAGACCTCTTCCTTGTTCGAGAAAAAGAACAGTTTGAAAAGCTACAGAATCTTTCAACTTTTGGTGACACTCCCATCACTGTAACGCCACACAGATCTATGAACACAACCCATGGAGTAGTATCTGATGCTGATTTGCTCGGCTTAACCGAAGAGGAACTTCTGGAGGGGTGGAAGAGTCAGAATGTGACCAATGTTCAAAGGATCATCATTAGACGAGACAACAAGGTAACACCAACGAAACACCTAATACTCACGTTCGCTTCCAGTAATCTGCCAGAAAGTATTCAAACAGGGTACACGAAGATGTCGATCAGACCATACATACCTAACCCACGTCGTTGTTTTAAATGCCAGAAGTATGGTCACAGCTCACAAAGCTGTCGTGGTCACCAAACTTGTGCACAATGTGGAATGTCAGGCCACAATTCTGACAATTGCGAAGAACCATCACACTGTGTGAACTGTGGCGGAAATCATGCCGCATACTCACGGTCTTGCTCATTCTGGAAAAAAGAAAAAGAAATCACATTGAAAATTAAAGAAAATATCACATTCAAGGAAACAAGACGGAGAGTGTCGCCATTTTACGGCGCTACATATGCTGATGCGGCGCGTCAGGGGGCAACGTCGCACCAGCCCTCGCCATTCCTTCGGCCAGCGCAGAGCGAGCCGTCGGCTGTGGCGCCTGCCCCCAAGGCGGCAGTAGTTCAGTCTACTCCGCCTCCTAGCGAATTGAGGCCGGAGACTCCAGGGTCCTCTGGCCTCAAGGCCTCCCCTCACCAGGCGAGGCCTAAAATCCGAACCACCAGTTCGCATGTGCGGGGGGCACCCAGTGCCTCTGAGGAGGCAATGGATACAACGGTACCCTTAGTACCAAAAGTGCGGTGCGGCTCCTTGGAGCGCGCCAAGAAAAATAAAAAAACCAATAACGGGGCCGGACGACCGTCCTGCCACCTGAATTAACGAGCTCTCTCCAACACAGGATACTCTTTGTACACACAGCAGCACCTCTCTTGTTTAAATATGCAGACAGAAATATTACAGTGGAATATCCGAGGCCTTCTTCGAAACCTCGATGACTTACAAGAACTCCTCCACGAACACAATCCAAGAGTGCTGTGTGTACAAGAGACACATTTAAAACGAACAAACACAAACTTTTTACGTAACTACGTAATCTTCCGAAAGGATAGAGATGATGCCATGCCACCATCCGATGGTGTAGCAGTTATAGTTAGTCAAGGTATAGCATGCACACAATTACCCCTTAAAACTTCCCTCGAGGCGGTGGCTGTCCGAGCAGTTATTCTAAACAAACTTGTCACTCTCTGCTCTTTGTACATACCTCCGCACCACCGTCTTGAAAAACTTCAACTCCAGTCTTTAATAGATGAACTACCTGAACCTTATCTGGTCCTTGGGGACCTGAACGCACATAATGGTCTGTGGGGTGACTCTCGCTGTGATGCACGAGGTCGTCTCATTGAACAATTCCTCATTTCATCAGGTGCTTGTCTGTTGAATAGGAAAGAGGCAACATACTATAACCTTGCCAACAAAAGTTACTCATCCATAGACCTCAGTATCGCATCTCCTTCAATTGTACCATTACTTCAGTGGAAAGTCATAAATAACCCATACGGAAGTGACCATTTTCTTTTAGTTTTGAGTACACCAATAATATATGAATGTCCTCCACATGTTCGCAAATGGCTGGTAAACAAAGCCGACTGGGAACAATTTCAAAAGCTTACTCACTGGAATTGGACTGACATATGCGGATTAGGCATAGATGAAGCTGTGCAGTACTTCACGGCCTTTCTTACTGACGCAGCAGCCAAGTGCATTCCACAAACATCTGGACTGCCCGGCAAACGACACGTCCCGTGGTGGAACACTGAGTGTCAGAATGCGCGAAAGGAACAGAACAGGGCATGGACGTTGCTGCGGAACTCGCCGACAGCGGAAAACCTTGAGAGCTTTAAGAAAGTAAAATCTCGAGGCAGGAGAACGCGTCGGCAGGCCAGAAGAGAAAGCTACACACAGGAGGCTAAAGTCTGGAACATGGTTCGTAGGGTAGCAGGAAGAAAAGTACACTCACTCCCACTCGTAAACACTCAGGGTGATACCTTGGAAGACCAGGCAAACTTCCTCGGTGCACACTTTGAACGGGTATCCAGCTCGTCCCACTATACTGACACTTTCCAAAAATACAGAACAAGAATAGAAAAGCAGAAACTCGAACACAAATCCACTAGATACGAGGCATATAACCAAGCCTTCAGTCTAGCTGAGCTCCGAACATCTCTAAACTCCTGCAGTACTTCTGCCCCAGGTTCTGACCGTGTGGTGTATGAAATGTTAAAAAACCTACCAGCAGAAACACGAAAAACCTTACTTTGTTTGTACAATGCTATCTGGTTTTCTGGCAGTATCCCTACCTCCTGGAAAGAGGCTATTATTATTACCATTTTGAAAGAGGGCAAGGACCCTTCTTTAGCTTCAAGTTATAGGCCTATTGCACTTACAAGCTGCTTGTGCAAAGTCTTCGAAAAAATGATAAACTGCCAACTTGTACATATCCTTGAAACAAACAATTTGCTCGACCCATTTCAGTACGGGTTTCGAAAAAGTAGATCCACCACAGACCACCTTGTTCGTATCGAGGCACAGATCAGAGACGCCTTCGTCCATAAACAATATTTTCTCTCTGTGTTTCTCGATATCGAAAAGGCTTATGATACAACATGGCGTTTTGGAATTCTAAGAGACCTGTCCCACCTTGGTGTGTGCGGAAGAATGTTTCACATAATCGAAAGTTACCTGTCAAAACGGACATTCCGTGTCCGTGTGGGCAGTGTTCTCTCCCAAACATTTGTCCAGGAAACAGGCGTGCCACAAGGTGGTGTACTTAGTTGCACACTTTTTATTATCAAAATGAATTCCTTGCACTTGTCCATCCCCCGCAATATGTTTTATTGTACATATGTCGATGACGTCCAGCTTGGCTTTAGGTCTTGCAATCTGGCAATGTGTGAGCGGCAGGTTCAGTTAAGTTTAAACAAGGTCTCCAAATGGGCAGAGGAAAACGGATTCCGACTGAACCCACAAAAAAGCATGTGTGTCTTGTTCTCCCGAAAGAGAGGCATGCACTTAGAACCCGACATTAAACTCAACGGTCAACGTTTGTCTGTTAATGCGGAGCATAAATTCTTAGGATTAATATTGGACAACAAGTTGACTTTCGTACCGCACATCAAGTATTTAAAAACAAAATGTTTAAAAGCCATGAATGTTTTAAAAGTGTTGTCACATACTACGTGGGGTAGTGACAGGCAATGTCTCATGAATTTGTATAGGAGCCTCATTCGCACACGCTTAGATTATGGGGCCGTTGTTTATCAGTCTGCGACTCAAAGTGCTTTGAAGATGCTGGACCCCGTGCACCATTTAGGCATCCGCCTTTCTACGGGTGCTTTTCGCACCAGCCCCGTAGAAAGCCTTTACGTTGAGTCAAATGAGTGGTCGCTTCATCTGCAGAGAACTTACATGTCCTTTGTTTATTTTCTTAAGGTGAAAGCACACAAGAAGCACCCCTCATACTCTACTATTATTGATTTGTCGAGCTCCATTCTGTTTCAAAACAGGCCTTCGATGAGGCAGCCCTTCTCAGTTCGCCTGAAGGGTCTAGCTGAGGACACTGGAGTGTCACTTGAACACAGTTTAATGGCTCCTGTAGCATACCCGCCACCGTGGCAGTGGCAGACTATAGACTGCGATGTGTCTTTCCTAGAAGTTACAAAACATGCGCCTATTGCCATATTCGAACATACTTCCTGGAACTTCAACACAAATACACACGTCCTGAGTTCTTTACAGATGCCTCTAAGTCCAACTCCTCTGTGTCCTACGCTGCTGTTGGCCCTTCCTTTTCGGATGCTGGCCCTCTACATCCAGGCACAAATATCTTCACAGCGGAAGCTTATGCGATACTTGTGGCAGCTAAACACATCAAACAATTACAAATACAAAAAGCAGTAATTTATACAGACTCCCTCAGTGTGATAACGGCTCTGCACAGTCTTAAAAAACAAAAAAACCCTGTCCTCGTCTCACTTTACCCCATTTTATGCACACTCTACACACTCAACCAACATGTTGTAGTGTGCTGGGTGCCAGGGCACCGTGAGATTCAAGGCAACGTGATGGCGGATCAGCTTGCTGCATCCGTCCACAAAATCAGTGCCACTACACCCATATCGATCCCGCCTCTTAATCTTAAGCCGTCTCTCAAACGAAAGCTCAGGGACAACTGGCAGAGCAAGTGGGATAGACACACACAAAACAAGCTACACGTTATCAAGCCACACCTTGGCCATTGGCCACCAGTATCAAAATCACTTCTAACAGAGGTAACACTAACAAGACTCAGGATAGGACACACATACACGACACACACACATCTTTTGTCCGGTGGCGATCCTCTAATGTGTGACAAATGTGGTGAGGCATTAACAGTTCTTCACGTTTTAATCCAATGTAAACAATTAGACACTCTAAGAAGACAACACTTTCCATTACCCTACCGACAACATATACGGTTACACCCCGCAATGTTTGTCGGTAGGGAACCACTTTTTAGTCATAAATTATTGTTAGCGTTTTTAAAAGATATTAATAATTTTCATATCATATACCCGGGCATCCCGTAGCACGACCTCTCCAGGGAGGTTTTTGCTGCGGTGGCTACACAGGAAAGCACTTGCCTCACGGCCCTTGGACGCAAGGGTATGAACGAGTGAGGTACTTGTGCTAATGCCATACATGTCCACCATGGTTTTACATTATCACCAACTTTTGTCACCTATTCACACCACACACACCTTTCACAGCATGGTCATGATTTTATTACTTGTATGTTTTTACCCGCCTTACTGCGAGGAATTTTATGGCCCTTATACAGCCGCTAATCACAATCATTATGCACATTCCTTGTCCCATGAACTGGCGCTCTTTGGCCATCAAATGGCCCTTGCGCCAAAAAACACCATATATCATCATCATCATCTAAATTACGTTAGGTGCCATCTGTAGAAGAATATGTAAACTTCTGTTACTTTAGCTTTGAGTCTTTTAGTTTTGGACCAGAACTGAAAGTGGAAAAGGTTTCAAACCGCAAAGGGTTCATTGTGAATTAACCAACTTATTCGTGATGCACCGTGATGTAAACTTTTTTGCAGGACGGCAGATGAATTCGAGTTAGTTCTGGCTGGGAGGAAAGGAAAGGCGACACTGAGATGTTACGTGACTAAGCAAGAAAGAGTTCACTATCTTCGTGTTTGTGGCTACGACGTTTCTGAGTACGGTAAGTTGTTCATACTTTTGTTACTGCATGCATGTAGTGTATGTACAAATCTTGCACTACATGAGAAAGTTGTGGCTATAAATTATATCCCATATGAAGCATACTGCTGCACTCAATAATCTCATATGTACTAATCACTAATATAAATATATCTAATTAAAAAGCACACTTACACGAGAATAGTATATTTTTACTAGTTATCGTCTCAGCCGTGGCATGGCCTCAGCCAGAATAAACTGAATCAACTCTCACGGACAGGCCCATCCTCACTCTCCAATGCACAGAGCACACTGAGAGACGAAGCACTGCTTAGCTGAGTTCCCCACTACCTGTTTGAAGCGTTTAGACAATGCTCTGATGTACAGTCACGTCACAGTGAATTCGCTGGCATAGCTTTCAGGACAGACCCTGTTATTAACAGCTTGCTACATCTTTTATTGTCCAAACATGTTTTGCTGCCAGATCATTTGTCTGACATAATTATGCTATCGTTATTACAATCGGCTTCAAATCCCATCATGACCACGGAGTTCTAGAATCTTTCCTGATCTATAAATTTAACACTATTTTCCGGTACTAACGAGAGTGTAGAAAATGTATTGTCTCTATCAATGTTCTTTTGATGTCGGCAATTCAGTTATCTTTAATGAAATGGGCCAGACGTATCAAAAAGTTTGTATTATGCAACAAGTGGTATGGTTTTGTTCCTCACTATATGCAGTACCTATATGTATATGCTATGAAGTCTTGGTAGTCTTGGTTGAATCAGCGTTTATTTGAGGAAAGACCTCGCAAAACGAACAGGCAGAGCCAGTACACAGACGATGATGACGATGATGATAACCCAGAGTGGCAATGAGGTCAAAGAGACAAGCGGATGATGGTGATTGTGATCATGCAGAGATGAGAACGATGTAAGTAACAAACGCCCACACTAATTCCCCACACTTGGAAGCGGACACCATGGCCGCTGTAAGTCAAAGTGACGAGGAACGTCGCGTGAAAGGTTTCATGCAACAAACGTGGACAATCTCTGTGCTGCGGTAGCGGCGCTCTGTTGGGGCGACGAGTAGTGTTACACGATAATTGACCGGCGAAGTCTGTTCTAAAACAATGTATGGCCCGATGAAGCGAGGTTGGAATTTGTCACAGAGACCAGGAGTGCGAATAGGTGTCAAAAGCAGCACCTTGTCACCAGGTTGGAAAGACGAAGGGATGCATCAACGCGAAGGGATGCATCATAGATGGTCTTCCGCTCGTGCTGTCTTGTTTCAATATTGATGCGAGCCTGATGGCGAGACTGTGCCAGGAGGGAAATGTATTTATTCGCTAGAAGACTGACATGAATTTCCATGGCTGCTAAAGAAGGAGGCGTCGAGAAAGGTAGTCGGGGTGCGTCCATACACTAGGTAAAACGGTGAGTAACAAGTTGGTCGCTGAACGGCGGTGTTGTAAGCGAAGGTCAGGAATGGTAAAAGAGTATCCCAGTTTTTGTGGTCTGGTTGGATGTAAACGAGTATCATGTCAGCAAGGGTTCGGTGAAATCTTTCTGTGAGACCATTTGTCTGAGGGTGGTAGCTTGAAGCTGTCTTGTGAGTAGTTCCAGTAGCGCGCAGTACTTCATTTATCATTTGTGACAGGAACGCTTTGCCACGGTCACTAAGCAGTACACGAGGAGCCCCATGATGCAGAATTATGGCGTGAAGAATAAAGTCTGCATTTTCCATAGCTGAGCCTGTAATAACAGAGGAAGTCTCAGCGTAGCGTGTCAGGTGGTCCACGGCGGTCACTATGCATCGTTTGCCAGCGGATCTGACGGGGAGAGGCACGTAAAGGTCGACACCTACAACCTCGAACGGCATTGAAGGGCACGGAAGTGGCTGTAGAGGTTCAGCAGGTGCAGACGTGGGGAGTTTAGGACGCTGGCATGGGTAGCAGGAACCGACTTACCACGCTACGCTAGAAGAAAGGCCAGGCCAGTAATAACGACACCGAATGCGGTCAAGGGTTTTTTTAAAACCAAGATGACCAGCAGTCAAGTCATCGTGGAAGGCTTCGAGCACCTGAAGTCAAAGAGAGCGTGGCAGTGCAGGAACCCAGCGCTGACCGTCAGGGTGGTAGACGTGGCGGTAGAGAACCCCATTGTGCAGCTTAAAGTGCAGAAGTTGACGATGAAGTCGCACGTTTGGTGGATGAGAAACTCCCGAAAGGTGGTCCATCATGCGTCTGCAGTATGAATCGGACCGCTGGTGGGAGATAAATGTTGGCTTGTTGTCCGAAAAGGGCTGCCTTATTGATGCGAGCGTATGAACTTTAGTAGATGTGGCGGTTGAGTTCTCACCAACGCTGATATGGGTAGTTGGAAGTAGGCAACGAGATAAAGCGTCGGCGTCTTGATGTTTTCTATCTGACTTGTAAGTTATGTCAAAGTCGTACTCATGCAAGCGTAGTATCCACCGACCCAAGCGTCCGGACAAGTTCTTCAGTGTAGAAAGCCAGTATAAGGCATGGTGGTCCGTAACGATTGTGAAGTGACGGCCATGGAGATAGGAACGGAACTTCTGCACCGACCAAACCACAGCCAAACACTCTTGCTCGGTTATCGTGTAGTTCTTTTCGGCAGGGGTGAGTACGCGACTGGCATATGCAACAACTTTCTCAAGGGAAGGCTTGTCGCGTTGTAGAAGAACAGCTCCTACACCAAGGCCGCTAGCGTCGGTATGGAGGATAGTCGGTGCGGCTTCGTCAAAGTGGCAGAGCAGAGGTTCAGACGTGAGTGCCCGCTTCAACAGGTTGAATGCCGTTTGACATTTTTGAGACCACAGAAAGGGGATGTTGGAGGCAAGTAGCAGGTGTAATGGAGCAGCAATAGAAGCGAATTTCTGGATAAACCGGCGAAAATAGGAGGCGAAGCCAAGGAAACTGCGAAGCTCCTTTGGTTTTTGGCACGCGGAAAGTGAAGGACTGCAGAAATCTTGGCAGGGTCGGGCCGGTTGCCAACTTTTGCTAACGTCTTGTCCTAAGACCTTGATAGATTTGCTAGCGAAAGAGCATTTCTTAGTGTTTATTTGGAGCCTGGCGCCTACAAGGCACGTCAGAACTTGATCCAATCGTTCTAGGTGCTCAGGAAACGTTGACGAAAAGATAATAATGTCGTCCAGGTAGGCAAGGCAACTTTTCCGTTTCAGGCCGCGCAGCATGATATCTGTAATGCGCTCAAAAGCGGCGGGTGCGTTGCAGAGCCCTAAAGGCATCACGTTGAATTCATATAGCCTGCCGGGGGTTGCGAACGCCGTTTTCTCCTTATCGTCTTCATGCATGGGGATCTGCCAGTACCCAGATTGCAAGTCAATGCTTGAAAAGAATTCCGCACCTTGTAGGGAATCAAGGGCATCATCAATACGTGGCATAGGGTACACGTCCTTGCGTGTGATCTTATTGAGCGCCCCATGGTCCACGCAAAAACGCACAGAGCCATCTTTTTTTACAGACCAAAACAATAGGAGACGACGAAGGGCTAGATGAGGGATGGATGACTTCCCGTTTAGGCATGTCAGCAACGTTTTCGAGCAAATATTGAAAGAATTTGCATGTTTCTGTAACAATGTGAGCAGCTGCTGCTTCTGTGAATTTGTCAAGTCGCTGCTGATAGTGGTGGTAAAGACGGAGGAAGAAACATGCTCACCGAGGGAAGTGTCTTTGGATGCGATGGCCTGAAGTGGCATGACAAATACAGGCTCGAAGTCGGCAACACGGGCCACAGTAGTGCCCTGTGGCAGTGAGATCTTCTCCGGTGTCGAGTTGATAGCGGTGACAAGTGCAGTGCCATTGCAAACGCGAACGACACCGGACGGAAGAACTATACCTTTACGAACTCAAAGCGGTGACGGTAAGACTAATACATCACCGTGATAGATGTCGGTGGACGTAATGCGGGCAATTTGCTCTTGTAGTGGCGGCAGTTTGATGTCTTTCGCAGCGACCAGATGAAGTGGCTTCTGATTGTCGTCATCAAGCATGTAGTCGGTTTCAGTGAAGTGAACGACGCGTTGTCCACAACAAATCGCCGCAGAAGCAGATAATAGAAAATCCCACCCTAAAATTAGTTGGTGAAAGCAGCAGGACAGGACAGCAAACTGGACATGATGGCGGATGCCGTCGATGAAAACACGCACAGTACAAAATGCGGAAGGGTGAGTGACGTTCCCCTGGGCGGCAACTAACGTGGGGCCATCAAAAGGCGTCATTACTTTCCTTAAATGTTCATACAGATCAGCACGTATCACAGACAGTGTCGCACCTGTGTCCACCAAAGCACTCCTTCCACTTCCACAGAAACCATGTTACACGGGCCTGATGGAGGAATTTCAGTTCTAATTACGAATGCAGTTTTTCCTCCACAAACTGCATCATTTAGTTTTCCGAATGAATATCAGAGGAGAATGAGGCGGGCCGAAGTGGAGAAGTGGAACGGCGGAAGGGCGAAAGCGAGCGGCGTCTCGTGTTTTGGCTGTTCCGCGGTGCAGTCGATGCCGGAGGAGATGGAGACCGGTGCGGGGGAGACGAATAACGCCGACCTTGATAAGACGCCCCAGTGTACAAATCCCGTTCGCGCAAGTCATTCCGACGCTCATCTTGCTGGTGCTTTCAGCAGAAACGAGATATGTGGCCGCGATAGACACAGTAGTAGCAGACAGGGCGGGACAAGCGCCACGGTGGGGAGTAGAAGGCACATTCGGGGCACCTGGAGATAGCGCAGTCAGGTGGGCCGAAGGGTCAGGGGGCACGGAATGGTAGTTCACCGGGGGAGGGGCAGCAATTGACGTGTAGGATGGCAACGGCAATGTCGCATGTGCGTCGCTGGGAGGCACGGCGGCAACTTGAGGGTACGTGGATATAGGGCGAGAAGCAGGTGGCTGTACGGGCGCAGAGCCGGTCAGGGATGTAAGTTCCTCCCTGATGATGTCACGTAAGGGCACTCCCGAAGACTGTGTAGGACG